AAACGATTATTGCCTTGGTGGCCAGTATGCAACCTCTTTGGCTGTATATATACTGCTTGTCAGCCAAAGAGGTTGTATTTTGCATTCAACACTACTTAAGTTCATTACTTAAGTTTTAGAGTATTACGTTTTTATAAATTTTTAATTATAATTTTAATTTTAACAAAGTACTGTAATTATTCAAGACCTTCTCAAGTGTCAGAAAAACGTCCATAAGTTGATTAACATTGTCGTTGGTTTTTTGTAAAATGTCTGGTTTTTGTCGTTGCTCGGTGTGCATTAGCCGTAAAATCGGACCGCGTGTTTTGAGACAATACTTTGCCTCGAATTAGAGACGGAACGAGCAATTTACAGAACAATAGCTCACTAACAAGTCACCGAAGGCCTTATTGACGTAATGAAGATATATCGTATCCAGGATCTACAAGTACATTTTAGACGAGTTACTCAACCTAACATACACGGATATTAATTTGCTCTACTTTACAAATAAAATTATTAATTTACCAATCTTACACTCAACTAAACTGTGCCCATAATGTGTTACATAAAAATGTACGTTGACTTAACACATATTCGTGTTAATTTCTGTTGGTGAAAAATAATAAAACGACATCATAAACTTGATTAATGTTTCTTTAGAGACATATTTTAGTGACAAAACTCAATTAATAGCTATAAACACATTTTTCTTCTTGGCTCATTCACATCTCTGAAACAGCAATAGGTTCTTTACAAAAAGAGAAAAAGCATTATTAGCGTCAACTAACGGAACAAAATAAATCTGAGCTGAGTTGAGTTTTTAATTGACGTAAATAAAAAGTACCAATGTGATTTTCGATTTTTCGAATTTTCATATGTACATAATTTACCCGACGTTCTTACGGTGAAGGAAAACATCGTGATGCAACCTGCACATATCGGCGAAGAAATTCAAAGATATGTGTGAAGTCAACCAACCCGCACTTGGCCAGCGTGGTTGACTATGGCCTAGTCACCCTGTATTAGGGTAGGCTCTGAGCCCCTCGGTGGGGATGTATAGTGAGCTGGTGATGATGAAATAAAAAGTAAGATCATTATAACTAAAACTAACGCAAACACGCCATTTGTTTTTGAAGCCAACGCTTTTCCACAATAGAAAGAATAAATACTTTTATGGAAACAAGAAAAAATGTATAAATAATGTGGATATTTTTTTAACGCTAAAAACAAAATGTTATTATGCTAGATGTAGTCCTTGACACTATTTATATTAAACCATTAAGTCCCCACAACCACGCAAAAGTAGCCCACCAAAGTCGGCGTCGCAACAACGAGATTAATTTGTCCAAACCTTGTCTTAACGTGTAATCAAATTATAACTTACCACTATAATGAGATACACCTCATTTGATTACTTGCAATAAAGAAGGTTGTAAGGGTGTACAACCTTCTTTATTGCATACTGCGTAATTTTATTACTGTGAACTCCTTTTACATGCTTCTGTATTAACGGTAGTAGAGATTTTAGAATCTCTATCATCGACACCAGGTACTGGAATAATCAGATTAATTTATAGGTTTTTTTTTTTGTTAATTTGTAGATATGGGTATGCAGTGCGCTGGCCGCACTGGACAGCTACAGTCCTCAGCAGGATCCTGACCAGTTCCACATTCAGACTGATGAAGATGATGAGCGCTATTTCCTCTACCAAACTCACAACGGACAATATCGCAAAGAGAGACGGCTGAAAGACGGCTCAGTTGTAGGTGAGTAGAGTTAGAATTAATTGTCAAGTCATTTTCTAAATTAGTGTAGATCATCACTAGAATATCATACCATCCGATATTCAGTGATGTGATGACAAGAATATATCATTGTCTGTACAATGGTTCTACAAATTGTCGTGAATTCGAAAATTATCCCTAATGCATTTACAATGACCCTTATTGTACAGATTCTTTTGACTTAAGTTATAAACAATACAAATACTAGGTTTCATTTCAAATGAATACATAACTTAACTTATTAAAACTTTCGTGAGACATTATATATATATAAATTATAACCGACTGACGGTCAGTGACCGTCGCGACGCGATAGCGAGTATACCCGATTAATCACTCACCCTGAAGAAGGACCCCCAACGGGTTCGAAACTGTCGGTGCCTACACCGAATGTTATCACGTGAGTTTAGCCGTGTTATAATTTATATAATACATAACTTACTTTTAAATTGAATTCTCTTGCATTTTCCAGGAACTACTGGATGGGTGGGTGCAGATGGATACCTGAGATTGCAAGACTACATTGCCGATGACCAGGGATACAGAATTTACAAATCTAAAACTGTCTATGTCGGATTGAACCGTCCAATCGGAGTACGTATACTTTTTACTAATTAATAAATACATACGTGACTTACTAGAGGTGTGACCAATCTAATCATAATGCTTATACTGTATACTTTAAATGCATACTGAAGTTATAGATGAATTGTTTTTAGGAGTCAATAAAAATGGCAAAGACAGCACCTACTGACTCCGGGTTTGGTATCACACCCGCGCCCCCGGTACAACGCACCAGCGCACCCGCAAGAAGCAGCACCACAACGCAGCCCCCACCGGCACCTACAACAGTCCATCACCCACCGCATCAGTACCCAAGCGAAGTATCCATTACACCAACACCATACTCCTACCCCTCACCTACTTCGACGCCACACGTCGAAGTGTCACCCAACTCTATCGATACTTCAACGCCATTTAATTTAAAACCAACTGTACCACCTATCACAGCCGAAGATGCATCTCCTTCACCGAGTCCTTACGATTACGAGAATACGAACACAATTGATGACCACTACTACGCCAGTGACAGTTCACCATACAGACGTTATGATGTCTACAACCCTAACTCTTATCGACATGCTGACGACTGGACGCGTCGATATCAAGGCAATGTCCGAGTCGGCGATGGATACACACCACAGTTCCCAGGGTACGACGGTGTAGCGTACAGAAGAAACGGATTCAGATACTACCTTCCAAAGCAGTACCACGAAGAAGCTACCCAAGACGCGAACGAACGAATAGGGAGCTTCGGTTACGTAGATCCGTTTGGTATTCGTAGAGTTATTTATTACAACACGTCACCTGGCGAAGGTTTCCAAATCCGTAAGAACAACAGGTACGTAGGCCACGACGCGACGCCATACGATCCCCGACCTGTTCAGTGAATTCGAGTCATTATTTGTGTGAAGTAAGTCAGAGTTACCTCTTGCATATCAGTATTTTATACGTTACAAAAAATATTGTAATCGACGAAGACAAAACGATTGAATCTCGAACGAAATTTCTTAGCCATAAATCTATGAAAAAGTGGGCGTTAACCACAAGAAAAAGAATGTAATCTTAAACTTAATTTATTATTTTAGTTTATGTATATTTTTTTAAAGAAAACTTAATTATCGTGACCGCTGAATATCGGTGCCATTTTAAACAATAATACCGAACGTAGAATATTAAAATGCACTCTTTAATTAACATCTTACATGTATAAAATACTAACAGATATGTATTTAGAATATTCATATAAAGTAAATAAAACCATATCATAATTTATACAGTAAATAGCTTTGATAAAGGTTTTTTAAATTGAACTATCACGGGAGTTCATCAAGGTGAACAAACTCAAGTAGGCGTTTTATTGCAAAGCCTACTATGTCTTTATTCAAAAATTAGATCATTATGTCTAAACTTAGCATTCAAAGTGCCTTTTGTAAAGTAATAGTCTAGATTTACATCAAGATAGTAAAACTTATACGCCTGTTTAGTAATATAATATATATTTTTTTTACTTATGAAAGGCGCTTTGAATACTAAGTTTTTTTCCTTCTAAAGCTTAAATTTCTTTTCTGTAAACATTTTTATAGAGAAGATACTAAAAAATAATCATAAAATTAAACTAAAAAATCAAAGTTATGTTTTGTAATTAATTAAAAAAGTCTGTCTATTTTATTTTTAACTAAGGCAAATCTTTTCAAGTAGATTTAACTAATTGTAAATACTATTTTCTCACCTTAAATTACAATCTTTTTTCCCTAGACTCTATAAACATATGTATTTCTTTCTTCGTTGGAGTGGATCAAATAATTGTACAATAGTTTGTATATTGATTGATTTATCGGTGCTTTAGCTTGGTGTAAGTGAAATAAGAAAAAGTTGTTGCGAATAATTTGTCATTATATTTTTCATTCGAAAACAAAACCAACTTAATGACAACTTGTTGCAGCAACTTAACGGGATATTTCTGTAATATTAATTTTAATGTACTTAATAACTGTGTATACTATTATCTATATTGTTGAATATTGTTATTATAAATTATTACCTTTATTTTATGACCTTTATTTAAAATTGTAACATTGTTTACTGAGCTGTAGCTAAAATGTCTTAACAAATAAACGAAAATTAACTATCATCGGTGTGTTTACTTTATTCTGCTTTTTATTTCAAATTTAAAAACTTTTTTAACTCATCGACAATTATATAAAATGTTAAATGGCGATGTTAGCGATTTAAAATCTTGGAAACGATTGAGATGAAATAAAAATACATAATCACAAATCATTATAAAAATTTTGATAAAATCATTTACGCCTCGGTGTAAAAGATAACGATATAGGCTTATCTGGTTTATTGATAAGCAACGTTCTAATGCCTAGATCTCCGCCCATCCATTTCATTTCGAACTCTTGTACTAACTGAAAAAGGAAAAGACATTTTACAAATACCATAATAGATAGTATTTAGTTGAATTTTTTTTCCAACAACAATATTAAAGTCAACATGGACAACACTTACACGGAACAGAATGATGTACATATTTTGTTCAGCTATTCTTCTAGCGATGCACGATCGCGGCCCAAAGCCGAATGGCAGGCTGAGGAATGGGTGTATGTTCTCGTATTGAGACGAATCTCGTATCCAACGTTCCGGCTTAAAGACCAGTGGGTCTTTCACGTACTGCGGCAGACGTGACGCTACCATGTTCTGGGTCACTATGACGGTCTGAATTTAAATCAAGGCCAAATTATTCTAACTTTACTATTTTTTTCTTAATCTATACTAATATTATAAAAAGGAAGGTTTATCATATTTGTCTGTATTGGAATAATTCAAAAACTACTGAGCCGATTGCAAAAAATCTTTTACCGTAAAAAGCTACGTTATCAGTTAGGTACATAGTTATGAATCTAAACCTTAGAACTTACCCCTTGAGGAATCAGATATCCTTTCAGTACAATATCTTTTTGTAACAAGCGTCCAACGCCGACCGACACTGGATTGAGTCGCAGGCTCTCTTTCACGCAACTCCTTAAGTACACAGCTTTTGAGAGTACGTCAGAAGTTAGAGTATTTCTTGGTGATAATAACTTTGAAACTTCATTATACAATTTCCTCTGACAATCTGGATTGCGAGCAAGATGGTACAGCGCGAAACTCGTGGAGTAAGCAGTCTTGAAAATAAGAAAAGTCGACTCAAAGCTCGATCACATGAATTTTATTAGAACGTAAAGCTCTCTACAAAGACAATACCCTTAATCTGTTCTGGAGGTACGTAAGACTACAGAGTTTCATACGTCCGAAAATGCGTTAGAAAAATAGATTAAAACCCAACTTAAACACTGGTTACTTTTAGAATATAAAGAGATATAAGTTCGGTTACCGTGTCAATAGCTGCCATAAGTATGTCGACCATCATGCCAGTAACATCTTTTATATCTAAGTTTGGTTGCTTCAGAAATGAATCTAATAGTGAATTGCCTTCGCCTTTCCTTCCTTTGCCAAAAAAGCTTATTTTGTTTATTAAAATCTCCGTTGATATCCTGTGAAATGAAAAGAAAACAATAAAATAATTAAAACAAGGGTTATTCATATATTACAACTAAGAACTTACTTTTCTAAAAATTGTTGAGATTCAACAAGTCTTTTGTACAAGGGTGTTTTAAAAAACCTCCAAAGAATTCCCTTGTCAAGTTTCATAATGCCACTGTTGGATCCGAAAGCAGCCGCGATCACTCGACTACTGCGGGATTCAGGCTTTTGTTCTTCCATCGAGAAACTATTAAATCTTTCATTCATAGCCACTACCCCTATCACTGGAAGTAAAAGAAGTGATATAGTTTATTGAACTTGTTTAACAGTTGGCGCTAGGGGAGCATAATTTTATTATTTTAATAAAATGTGATGTGTTTTAGTAGCGTTTGTTGTTAGTATTCCAGGCGTTGTTTTGTACTGCATCTCATCTGTGAGCGAAATATTTTTCGTATATACTGGCCTTTAAGATAAAGTATTTAAATAGCTATACACGTACCTTCAAGATACAATCTATTCAGATATTTCAGAAAATCTTCTTCATGTAACAACTCAATTTTCTTTATCCAATCAACAAATTCACATGCAACCTTATCCGCACACTCTACATATTGCTTTGCATTTTGCGGACCTGTAAAGTTCTTTTGGAAAGTACTACGGAGACGCCACCAATCGGGGCCATTCCTAAAAAAAAGTAAGATTTTCTTTAGTTAAAAGTTTTTTAGTGTATTAGTTCCTAAGTGCTATTTGTCAGTGCTAATTCCTCACTCTTCTTTCGTACTTAATACAAATATTTAATTACTTCCATGAATGTGGGGTATATGATTTTATTTCTACTTTTATTTTGTCATATTTTAAAAGCAGGGACTCATTTCGAAAAGAGGCTGTTGTATAAAAGTATCAAATCAGTACGTGGAAAGCAAACCGCCAGTATTGTACATATTCGGCTTGCTCAGCCGATAGTGAAGCATTGCCACGTGACTCCGTCTCGATGGATGACGATCGTCCTGTCGGAATACCGCTTCTATGACCTCTGGTTCGTAAACATGAAGTAAGTTCACACCAGGCACCTCCTTCACTAGACCTCCATAGCGACGCCAATTTAACCAAGCAATCTTATCGAGTGCCTCTGCATTATATTCTCCTGGAATGTAAATACTCGTATTCTGAGAGAAACGAACGAATTCAAAAAATGCTATGCTATGCTAAAATGCTATGCTATGCTAAAATGCTATGCTATGCTAAAATGCTATGCTATGCTAAAATGCATATTACTTTATTATTACCATTTACAAAATCAGCAAAAATGTTTGTTTTGATCTAATCTTTTGCTAAGTATACATCTTAATAGCAGACCAAGTGAATATAAATCCTGCTCACATTTGAAATGTAAAAAAAGTGGCCAAAACCAATCATTGCTATAGGGTACTATTTCATTACGTCACTTAATATAGGTACTATGACTTATAACTTACCTACGATCGGCACATATTTGTGTAAAGTTCCAAGAATCGGATAGCTCTTGGGGCCGGGAATATCGTTAAAATTCATTAGCTTATCACAATTAGGGCTTTGTTTATGCAAATATCTTAATCTGTAACCCGATATAATACTGCAGATACGCATATACTGTGTTTTAAATACTGTCTTATGATTTATTTTGGTGTTAAACATAATTCTAGCTGTTTGACCGACGATCTTATACGTATCGCACGAAAAACGGAATATTACTGAGCATCTGATTACAGAATATGGCCGGACCGTAATAAGATGCACATAAAGTAAGGAGAAGAAAAAGAAAAAAACAGATCGGGTCCAGGTAACTTGAATATAAATGTACTTTACGACGCCGTACGAACAAGGCTGATTTATAATGCCAGTTAGCATCGATTTACATGTATCGGAAATGTTTCATATTGCTTACGCGGGAAAAAAATTGACGCTACAGAAATTATTATAAAAGTTTTAAACATCGATGGTTATATATTTTTGTACACTGTGTAACCATCCTCTTTTTCTCTTCAACTCTCTACTCCATAAAAATAAGCCGTTTGATCAGGAAATATAAATTTTATGCCTTTCCAAAGGTTTATTTATTTATTTGGCCAATAAATTTAATATGTGATCGTCTATAGGTTAGGATCCTTTGTTTTACGTTGTGTTTTATAGTAATAAGTTCTTTTAAGTTAGTTATTAAGGAAGTTTGAATGTTATTTAGGAACGCCGAAAATCAGGAAGTCGATTAAAATTACTCTTAAAATTAAAATCCTTTGCGCTTGCAATGGATGAAGTTAAAATTCACTTGTATTAAGTTTACAAAATATATTTACAAAATACTCAATACAAGCGTATATCGCTCTCCTCATTTTTTATTAAAAAAATGTGGAGAGGCACATGGCTCCAAATCAACACCCGCCATGTGCGGTGAGCGCCGACCAATTATTGCACTCCCCC